GCAGTGTGCAAGAGGACCTCAGCGATCAGCAATTTTCGCAGAACCACTTCGCCACAATGGTGCGCGTGCCCGGATCTTTGGGTGCCTCAGGATATCACCGTGAGTCCCCAGATGAAGAAGCGCAAGCTGGAATTGGACTAGGGAACGAAGCGTCGACGGGTATTGGATCACCGTCGACTTCGCTAAAATCAAGATCGATCCACAGATCGGCAGAGTTTTGGGAGGAGCTCTACCGACGGAACAGAGGGAGGTCTGGCGACAGACCTAGAAGAAAAACCTCAACCTCCTCCCCAGGTCCCTTCGGGGACCCCTGCGGGTTCTGATTCGCATTAGAACCCGGTGGACGAAAGTCCACCGGCAAAAGCCGGGAACGTCTCGGCCAAACAACCGCCTAGCTCAATATCGATTGTCAAGAAGAAGCCAGCTAGATCGAAGTCCTCGCGAAAGAAGCTGAAGGCACCAGACTCGGACGTTGACGATCGCATCGATCTTACGTCAGCTTGGACGAATGAACAACTCGAGAGCGTGTATCACAAGAAGCAGCTTCACGCTTTTCTAGCTGAGGATGCTGTGATGCGCATCCTCCGTCCGAAGCTGCTCGGTGATCTGAAAGGTCCTGTATCTGAACCGGCCTTGAGATCGAATAAGTTGGACAACGTGAAAGCAACGTTACGTTTGTTCAAGTAGTCTGGAATTGTTGCTGGAGCATTTGAGCTAACGATCTGTTCGATCTTAGCGAAGAGGTCATCAAGGCTGTACCCAAGACGCTGTTCGAGTTGTTGAAGCCACTGGTGGATGGAGTCCACACGATCTCCAAGAACGGAGGATCCCCTTGTGATTCCCCAAGAGACGATCACGACGTGTCGTCTTCCCATTATGAGTCTGCAACAGAGGAGGTGGACACCGACAGTGTCGATGACCCGCCACGAACGACTCTAGGTCCATCCGGAACCGCGATGCTACGAGATCGAGCCGCCTAGAAGGCTGCAAGTTCACCCACGGAGAGAGGCTCCGCTGTCACAGGCGTAAATCGGTATTCGCCAGAGAAGCTGGAGTCCTTTTTTCAGTCGGCGATGGGGCGATTTCTCGAAGAACAGCGGACAGCGACGGCGCCTGAAGGTCCGACACC